AATAAACAGAATCAGTTCTGATAAAATGGTGTAACTTGCACAGGATCAAGTCCACATTTTACGACACTGTAAATTCTCGCGCGCTGATTGGCTGATAAGAGTGTGTCAATAAGAGGAYATGCRCACYGTGCTGACACCATCACGCCCCCACATGCGCGCTYAATTGAAAGAAAAGAATAACTTTTGCTAATTTGTAGACTTTATATGTGTGGTAAAGTTAACAAATTTGTTAAATATCAGAAAGTTCTAAATTCTTTATCAATTTAATTCTCTGTAAGCATCGACATGTTATAGTCTATAATCCAATGCAAAGTGCGCAGAAGTTTCATGAGGGGGTTTTCAGGGGTTTCAAGCATCATATTTCAAAGAATGTCTGCCAAGGAAACCCCAGAGACCCCCCACACATGCCATGCCTCTTATTTCTACAGCTAAATCTATTGAATTAAAACCTTGTACACTATTTCAACAGTTTTACCTTCATTGACACTACTTGAAGGAAACATGTTGTTTAGAAGTTTGTGAATATCTTGAAAAGTTGGCCGCTCCATTGCATCCCAACTCCAACCTATGCAAAAACAATATGATGATTATAAACAAAGCAGTTATAACTTGTACTCATTCTCCTTGTTTTAAGMAGGATAAAGGCCAACAAATCTGCCTATTAAAATTGACTTACAAACAACAATAAAGATGGTTTATACAAAGAAGATATCACAGAAAAACCTAAAAACAATCGGACTTCAAATAATATAAGTCAATATTACCCTTCACAAAACCTGAAAATGTTAATGAAATACCTTTTTACATCATTTGGAGAATAGTAACTTCAGGACCGTGTAAAAATCATGCTCCGCTGTGCATGAGTTTAAAATTACATTTCTTTACAGTTAACATTTGATGGCTGTGCAAGATATTGTCTACCAACATACATTTACTGTATAATGTTAGGTGTTCAAATATCTTCTCTCAAATTTTCAGACATTGCTAACAATATTTTTAGTAGTTATTCTTACTAACATCTTCCCATAAGAGAGTACACTTCTGGAGGACATCCTTCTGGACAAGGCATTCTGTATCCACTTTCTAGCATTTCATAAACCTGCGATAGGTCAATTCCTGGGTAAGGTGACATGCCATAGGTGGCAAGCTCCCATAGTAGAATACCAAAAGCTATAAGATAAAATACACCAATTTAACAATTCTTCACATAACATCCATTCGCAATTTGTTTCCATCAAATCTTACAATGTCTCCCTTCAGAGAGCATAAAGGGATAATATTATAAAGTCATTTATAATATTAATTATAACCATTTATTAAAGGAATACATTGCATGCTGAGAAGCAGAACAAGTAGAAGAACATGAAAAATGAAGAGCCAAGCCATTGCCATGCTTCAATTTAACTAGAAGTAAATTAACACACTACATACCCCATATATCAGATTTGATAGAAAAAGTGTTATAAGCTAAAGCCTCTGGTGCTGTCCATTTAATTGGGAACTTTGCTCCTTGGTGTGCTGTGTAAATATCAGCATCCACTAAACGTGATAGACCAAAGTCTGCAACCTTCACAAGGTGAGTCTCGCCGACCAGACAGTTTCTTGCAGCAAGATCCCTGATATCAAGAAATATCATCAAATATTGTACTTATTACACTAAAATTATTGGACAAGTAGTTGTCTCACAAAATGAGTGATACATTGGGTATATTCAATAGCAGTCTGTCCAAATCCCTCACTAACTATGTTATCCAGATGTAAATCAGATCATCAGGTCTGTGAACTCTGGAGGTTGGCCACATGTATCTCTCTATTGACATTATATTATATCTTTCTTTTAATGGCAAACAAACTGACTAGATGGATGAAACAGTGATACCACAAACAAGAA